ATACACCCCCCCCGCTCGAATCTTTGCATTCTGATCTTTCAGGGGTAAAGTCAGACCGGTTCCTTGTCCAAGCTCACCGTGGCATCCAAACTCAGGTCCCCAATGAAAAGGGACACCACAAAGTCCAACTCTTGCAGAGTGTCGCCCGTTTTGTCACATCAACGTCCGCGTCATCTCGGGTATTCTCCTTTTTTGTTGCGGTTTTTGCCGCCACATTTTCCCCAAGCCCAGATAAGCATCGGGCTAGTCCGAGGGTTCGGGGCAGGTTCTGAGGAGAGTTCCATGTCGGGGAAGCGTGGGGTGGTTCCGAAGCGGGTTCCGCAGTGGGGCGGTTGGAAGAGTTCCGGGGAGAGGAGTGCAAGCAAATGTGCCTCATGCTGTTGGGGATGTCACCTGAGCCTATTTCGAGCGCTTTGGGGGCCATTTGTCATTTAGGCCGTATTCTTCGGGCCGTTTGGGTTCATTTGAGAACTCAAATCATCCCTGAAGAAAAAGACCAAGCCACCAATCCCAAATCCAAACCACCCAACCCCTGAAATGGGTTTGTCTCCTGAGCCGCTCCCCGTTTTCGGCTTCGGGTTATTTGGCCATGGGTCAAACGCCCGTTTTCCCAGTGAACAATGTCCATCCCCACGAAAGTAGGTTCTAAAATGGGTGGTGCACCGAAAACTCCAAAATGGGATCCCATTGGTTTTGACAACCACGGCCATTTGACGCGAGGAGCTGCTGATCATCGCCGGCTACGCCGTCGAGAAGGCGCCCGAGGCCACCAAGCCGCTGGTGTCTCGGCCGAAGCGGCGGCGGCTTCTTGGGCCGCAGAGATCAGTGGGGGGCGACATGTTTTTTTTTTTTTTTTTTTTTTTTTTTTTTTTTTTTTTTTTTTTTTTTTTTTTTTTTTTTTTCGGGTTTTCCTTTATATATATATATATTTAATTATTTTCTACATGGTGGTTTAAATAAGTGGTGGCTTTAACAGTTGGGGGCTCTTGTGCAAATGGTAAAGGCGCTTTTGTCGCCCCCCTGGGACATACTGTGGATGGACGACATCCCACGTTCAAAAGCTTTGAAAGCAATTCGACCAAGGCAAGCTGAGCCTTCTTAAAATTCACATATGAACCACTATTTGTGAAAACCTCGTTTGTACAAAAGCCTCCAATTGTTGAAGCCACCACTCATTTAAACCACCATTGGGGGAAAATAAAACCCGAAGACCACGTTGCCCTCCACTGATCTCTTTGTCTGATGGATGGCTCCAGAAGGTAAGGGTCGCCTCGGGATGTGAGCCGATGTGAGCTGAATTCGACTGGTGGACTTCAACTGGGGTTGTTTTTTTTGAGGGCACTGCTTTGTTGTGGTTGTAAAGGGGGACCAAAAGGAAACCACATTTTTAGTGGGTCCAGCCTGAAAACGACACACCCAAGTGAGCGAGAGTTGCTTTTATACAGATCGCAGCAGCTGAATGCTCATGGGCATAATCCTAATATTTGTATCCGACGATTTTTGTGAACCGCTGTTTCGCCGTTTCCGAGGTGGACACCGCAGGTTTGCTGGCAGAAGTCTTGCAGTGCGAGGCGGGGGTGTTGCCGTGGGTTCCTCGAGGGGCAGTTGGGTTTACGCCTCAGAAAGTCGTGCCATTCTCTTAAATGTTTTTTTCCATTTTTTTTTCAAAGTGTTTTTTTGGTAATTTTATTTTTTTTCCTGCGGGGAATCCGGGCCTTTCGCCCCCATGCACCCTCTTGAGGGCTTTTCCGCCCGCACCTCGGAGCCCGAGGTGGCGCTGAGCCGCGCCAAGTGGCGGGTGGTGAAGCTGCAGCTCAGGGCCTTTGAGCAGGTCTCCAAGGGCAAGCGCCCCGGCGCAATCCGCAGATTTTTTTTGAAAGAACTCGGCTCGAGTCGGATGCTTTATGAACGACGGGATGCCGGGATTTTTTTTGTAAAAGATTCGGCTCGACTGGATGCTCCTATTGAAGGACAATTTGGCAAAGGGGGGGCGAAGGACTCTTGGTCCATATATGATTTTTGGATGGGCCTTGAAAACGGGTTTATGCGTTGTTTTTTGGGGGGGCTTTGGTGGTGGTGGGGGTGGTGGTGGTGGTGGTGGTGGTGGTGGTGGTGGTGGTGGTGGTGGTGGTGGTGGTGGGGGTGGCGGGTGGAAGTTCGATTGCGGGCTGTGAGTTCAATGTTTCCGACCCATGGCAAGGGCGAATCAACTAGGACCAGTTCTGAAAGCGGAGCTTGAAGAATGGACGGGTCCAAGTAGGTTGCCACGAGTTGCACCCTGAGTCATGGGAACGGGAACACTCCGTTGTCTGCCTCTCATGGCTGCCTTCGCTTGTCTCCTTGGGGAGAGCGGGTCTGTCAAATTCTTGGACCTGCCAAAATGGATGCTTTCCTTTTGGCTTCCCTTGTAAACAGCCGGCATAAAGCGGGTACTAGTACCCTGAAAAAAGCATCCACAGTCCCGAATGTTGGCATAGCCCTTTCGCTCACGGAACTGCACAAAACACCGGCTTTCCTTGGCTTTTCCGACAGTTCCCTATATTTCTCGATTGGGTTGGCCCGTTTTTCAGGCGAGTCACCTTGGAGGTGATGTTTTAAGGGGGCAAAACTGTAAGTTTCATCCCGGCATCCTCCAGGCTGCTGAGTTTCTTTGACAGGGGCAAGGGAACCACCCAAAGAAGGAAACAACTTGGAAATACGAGCGAACAAAGGTGGGACATTGCCCAGCAGATGGTGGACGTCATGGCACGCCGGCCCTGCAACTTGGAGCTGAGTGGGGAGGGGTTTTGGTGCCGTCGAAAAAGCGCCATGCCTCCTTGTTTCTTGCCTACTTGTTACCCAACCCAGATTGCTCACAAAAGCAAACGTGACTAAAACTTTTGAATGGGAAACACCTCTCAAGTAGACATCGGCGTCAACCCCCAAGTAAATGTCAAGAAAACATCATGCCCAAGTTTGTCATCCAACCAAGTTGGCTTTCCCAAAGCGCCATCCAACCAAAACCATATGGGTGTGGGTCAAAAACCAAGCCACCAGGATATTTGGTCGCAGATCTTAGTCCTTTCCATTTACCAGGGCGACCCATTGTTGGGGCTTCCCTGGTTTTGACCCACCCATGCTCCTCCAAAAAGCCACCACGTAATTATTCATAAGTTGTCATCCAACCCAACCACGTAAAAGAAACGCGCAGATATGGAGTTTGATCCATATTCCTCAAATGACCAAGGATAGCTTTTCCAGTGGTTGAAGCATCAAATCTGTTTTGCGGCTTTCCGACGGTCATCCCATGAGCGTAGAGATATCTTCTCATCCGAGCGGATCAGAGTGACATTGTGGATGGTTGCGAAATCCATTTCGCACCACCCAAGAAACCCCAAAATAATGATTCCCCTGTAAATACCAAACAAACCATGGCTTCAACCACGGTTTCTTCGGCGGTGCGAAATGAATGTTCAACCATCCGCAGTATGGGCCCAGGTTTTGACCTGGGCGAGGGGTTCAGCATCTCTGCAGCTTATGGGGCCTTGGAGTCCGCCCTGTGCGAGCGCGAGAAGCTGCTGAGGCTTCGTTGGGTTGGGGTTTGGGTTTGGGTTTGGGTTTTGGGGGGGGGGGGGGCTTTGGTGGGATGTGGGGTTGTCCCTTTGGGACGCGTGTGTTTTTTTTCTTCTTTTTTTTTCCACTTCTTTCTTGGGGGGGTGGACGGGAAGCCAAAAGGAGACCTACCGTGGGCAGCGTGGTTTGAGACAAATAGAGCTCCATCGCTAAATGGCACGTCAAGGGGGGGGGACCTTGCAAGCGCTGCCGTAGGAGCCACCCCGCTTTCCAACTTCGATCCCAAACATCAGTAAAAATATGAATTATAGGCTCCCTTGAAAGCCCCTTGATTTCCTTCACAACCTCCCCAAAAAAGCCAGTTGCCAAGTGCAGAGTACCGCTTGCGTCAGTCGGGTGGGTGATTTTCCAACAGGTGTTCCCCAGCAGATGTTGCCCGCAAGCTTCTTGGGGCTAGGCGCGGGTATCACTTCTACTTGTGGCATGTTAAAAAGGGTACGGCAGGCCTTGCCTGGGCCATATCGTTTTGCCGAAGCTTTCCCAGTTGGCAGCGGCTGGCCCCCCCTCCCCCCAGCAGCCAGCTTGCTGGTTTGCCTGCCTGCCTACAGCCCGCCTGGCTGCCTTCTTCTTGCCTTCTTCTTGCCTTCTTCTTGCCTTCTTCTTGCCTTCTTCTTGCTTTCTTCTTGCCTTCTTCTTGCCTTCTTCTTGCCTTCTTCTTGCCTTCTTCTTGCCTTCTTCTTGCCTTCTTCTTGCCTTCTTCTTGCCTTCTTCTTGCCTTCTTCTTACCTTCTTTGTTGCCTTCTTCTTGCCTTCTTCTTGCCTTCTTCTTGCCTTCTTGTTGCCTTCTTCTTGCCTTCTTGTTGCCCTCTTCTTGCCTGATTCTTGCCTTCTTCTTGCCTTCTTGTTGCCTTCTTCTTGCCTTCTTCTTGCCTTCTTCTTGCCTTCTTGTTGCCTTCTTTGTTGCCTTTTTTGTTGCCTTCTTCTTGCCTCTTATTTCATTGCCTTCTTCTTGCCTGAGTCTTGCCTTCTTCTTGCCTTCTTATTGCCTCTTATTTCATTGCCTTCTCTTGCCTGAGTCTTGCCTTCTTCTTGCCTTCTTATTGCCTCTTATTTCATTGCCTTCTTCTTGCCTTCTTCTTGCCTTCTTCTTGCCTTCTTGTTGCCTTCTTCTTGCCTTCTTGTTGCCCTCTTCTTGCCTGATTCTTGCCTGATTCTTGCCTTCTTCTTGCCTTTTTGTTGCCTTCTTCTTGCCTTCTTCTTGCCTTCTTCTTGCCTTTTTTGTTGCCTTTTTTGTTGCCTTCTTGTTGCCTTCTTCTTGCCTTCTTCTTGCCTTCTTGTTGCCTTCTTGTTGCCTTCTCCTTGCCTTCTTCTTGGCTTCTTGTTGCCTTCTTGTTGCCTTCTTCTTGCCTTCTTCTTGCCTTCTTTGTTGCCTTCTTCTTGCCTTCTTCTTGCCTTCTTCTTGCCTTCTTCTTGCCTTTTTCTTGCCTTCTTCTTGCCTTGTTCTTGGCTTCTTATTGCCTTCTTCTTGCCTGATTCTTGCCTGAGTCTTGCCTTCTTGTTGCCTTCTTCTTGCCTTCTTCTTGCCTTCTTGTTGCCTTCTTGTTGCCTTCTTCTTGCCTTCTTCTTGGCTTCTTGTTGCCTTCTTGTTGCCTTCTTCTTGCCTTCTTCTTGCCTTCTTGTTGCCTTCTTCTTGCCTTCTTTGTTGCCTTTTTTGTTGCCTTCTTCTTGCCTCTTATTTCATTGCCTTCTTCTTGCCTGAGTCTTGCCTTCTTCTTGCCTTCTTATTGCCTCTTATTTCATTGCCTTCTTCTTGCCTGAGTCTTGCCTTCTACTTGCCTTCTTATTGCCTCTTATTTCATTGCCTTCTTCTTGCCTGAGTCTTGCCTTCTTCTTGCCTTCTTATTGCTCTTATTTCATTGCCTTCTTCTTGCCTGAGTCTTGCCTTCTTCTTGCTTCTTATTGCCTCTTATTTATTGCCTTCTTCTTGCCTGAGTCTTGCTCTTTTCTTGCCTTCTTATTGCTCATATTTCATTGCGTATTCTTGCCTGAGTCTTGCCTTCTTCTTGCCTTCCTTATTGCCTCTTATTTCATTGCCTTCTTCTTGCCTGAGTCTTGCCTTCTTCTTGCCTTCTTATTGCCTCTTATTTCATTGCCTTCTTCTTGCCTGAGTCGTGCCTTCTTCTTGCCTTCTTATTGCCTCTTATTTCATTGCCTTCTTCTTGCCTGGTCTTGCCCTTCTTCTTGCCTTTCTTATTGCCTCTTATTTCATTGCTTCTTCTTGCCTGAGTCTTGCCTTCTTCTTGCCTGAGTCGTGCCTTCTTCTTGCCTTCTTATTGCCTCTTATTTCATTGCCTTCTTCTTGCCTGAGTCTTGCCTTCTTCTTGCCTTCTTATTGCCTCTTATTTCATTGCCTTCTTCTTGCCTGAGTCTTGCCTTCTTCTTGCCTGAGTCTTGCCTTCTTCTTGCCTTCTTATTGCCTCTATTTCATTGCCTTCTTCTTGCCTGAGTCTTGCTCTTCTTCTTGCCTTCTATTGCTCTGATTTCATTGATTCTTCTTGCCTGAGTCTTGCCTTCTTCTTGCCCTTCTTATTGCCTCTTATGTCATTGCTTCTTCTTGCCTGAGTCCTTGCCTTCTTCTAGCCTTCTTATTGCCTCTTATTTCATTTGCCTTCTTCTTGCCTGAGTCTTGCCTTCTTCTTGCCTTCCTTTATTGCATCTTATTTCATTGCCTTCTTCTTGCCTGAGTCTTGCCTTTTACTTGCTTCTTATTGCCTCTTATTTCATTGCCTTCTTCTTGCCTGAGTCTTGCCTTCTTCTTGCCTTCTTATTGCCTCATTATTTCTTTGCCTTCTTCTTGCCTGAGTCTTGCCTTTTATTGCCTTCTAATTGCTCTTATTTATTGCCTTCTTCTTGCCTGAGTCTTGGCCCCTTCTTCTTGCCTTCTTATTGCCTCTTATTTCAGTGCCTTCTTCTTGCCTGAGTCTTGCCTTCTTCTTGCCTTCTTATTGCCTCTTATTTCATTGCCTTCTTCTTGCCTGAGTCTTGCCTTCTTCTTGCCTTCTTATTGCCTCTTATTTCATTGCCTTCTTCTTGCCTGAGTCTTGCCTTCTTCTTGCCTTCTTATTGCCTCTTATTTCATTGCCTTCTTCTTGCCTTCTTCTTGCCTTCTTCTTGCCTTCTTGTTGCCTTCTTCTTGCCTTCTTGTTGCCCTCTTCTTGCCTGATTCTTGCCTGATTCTTGCCTTCTTCTTGCCTTTTTGTTGCCTTCTTCTTGCCTTCTTCTTGCCTTCTTCTTGCCTCTTATTTCATAGCCTTCTTCTTGCCTGAGCTTGCTTCTTCTTGCTTCTTATTTGCTCTTTATTTCATTGCCTTCTTATTGCCTGAGTCTTGCCTTCTTCTTGCTTCTTATTGCTCTTATTTCATTGCTTCTTCTTGCCTTGAGTCTGTGACTTCTTCTTGCCTTCTTATTGCCTCTTATTTCATTGCCTTCTTCTTGCTGTAGTCGTGCCTTTCTTCTTGCCTTCTTATTGCCTCTTATTTCATTGCCTTCTTCTTGCCTGAGTCTTGCCTTCTTCTTGCCTTCTTATTGCCTCTTATTTCATTGCCTTCTTCTTGCCTGAGTCGTGCCTTCTTCTTGCCTTCTTATTGCCTCTTATTTCATTGCCTTCTTCTTGCCTGTTTTGCTGTATTGTTTATGTCTTGCTTGCCATTCTGCGTGCTTCTCGGCTTGCCTTCACCTTGCCTGCGAGGGGTTGGTTTCTGGCCAGGATGCTCCTGGAGCACCAGGTGCGCACAGAGGCGAGGGCCGAGAAGAGATCCGAATTGCAGGCCCATTTTTCAGGGATCCTTACAAAACACACCTGAACATTGCCTTGTAAATTGCAGCTTCCCTTTATTTTGGCGTGAAAAGCCATGTTTCGAATGGGCAAAATGTATCTTTTAAGGAGTAGGTGCACCCATTTTAGTCTATTTTAGTGGAGATTGGGATGTTCACTGGGGGTACGGGATTTTGACTCATGGCCAGATGGGTTCCACTGGTTTAGGTTGGTTTGATTCCATTGACCAGGGCCATCCATTTTCCAAAAAAGGACACCTATGTCCAGGAGTTGTTTTTAGTTTCATTTTGTGTTCTTCTTTTTCGATTGCTCAGTGCGTTTTTTTTTGGTAGCTTGGGCAGCTGTTTTGCGGCTTTTGGCGGCGCTGGCTTTGCACGCCCCAGCATCGCCAACACCCTTGGCCAATCCAAACCCACCCTAAACCAGCACTAAACTAACCCGAAGCCCACCCGAAGCCCACCCTAAACCCACCCCACAAACCCCTAAATACCCCTACACAAACCGGAGCTAATCACCAAACCCAACCCCCCAACCCCAACCAACCATACAAAAACTTTCAACACAACTGAAAGCCACCCGAACCAACCTAAAGGGACCTTGAACCCATCCCCTAAACACACCCTAAACCAACCCCAAGCGGGGGTTCTTACGGAATGAGGAAAGGCCGGGTACGATCAGGATGCGGGCTCTGGGTTTTGTGTTTGCGCAGGCTCGCGCAAAAGTTCCCTTGTGAGATGCTCATGTATTTCGACTGCCCAGGCTCTTGCAAAGTGTGGGGTGAATTTGGTGTGTTTGTAGTGTGAGCTCTCGCTGCGGCTACTTTCATGTTGGCTTCCTGTGCCGCAATATTTTCTCGTTATTCTTGACGCGGTTGCTTGGGGGGATGTGTGAAAGACGCTGCCGTGGATCAACAGAAAACAACAACCCCGACATGGAGCTCAAGCTCCCGAATGAGGTCTCCACCCTTTGACAGGTAGATCGGCCTATCGCAGGCTAAGCGGAAACCCAAAGCCGGGTCGCGACATGTCAGCCCCTGTCATGGGGCAGGTGCCTCCTCAAATGTTAGATATATCTAACCGCCCCCCCCCCTCAATCTCTGGCTTGGTGGACCCTTAATTTTGCTTTGATAATTTGTAGCTCTTTCAGCGATTGAACTCACGTCGCTTTAATCATTGCTAGCCTCTTTCTGTGATTGAGCTCATGTCGAAATCGTTCATGACTGGATTTTGCGAGGTGGATTTTGTTCAGCGATTGGTAGCCGACATAAAAGCTGCGCTCGAAACTGCGGCCGTGCCACCCTGCCAGGACACAACTCGGACTTAGTTCAGTCGCATCATGCTGCCTTCCAAACAAGGGCCCCAAGCACCGAAGTTTCCAGCCTTCTTTCTTGCCCTGGACCAGGTTTGTCCCTTCAACATGACCTGCTGCTGTTGCGCATTTCTCTGAGGCCTTTCTTTGGATGAAGCTACCTTTCGTGCCCCCTTCTGCTCAAGTTTCTGGCGCATCCACACACGTGCGACCATGAAAGAAACAGCAGGGAGGGCATTGAATGTGCCCCCATTTCGCGGGAGGGTGATGTGTTTAAGGTGACGTTCCAGGTGAAAAAAAGCCAATAGGGCAACCTCGAGCTGGTGGAGCGCACCAGCTTGACCTCCTGTCGGGCTCCCAAAACAAGTCGAGCCCATATGTTGGCATAAATGATTGCGTCTTGGATGGGCCTCTTTTTGCAAGCCGAAAGATTTCTACGATTTTATTCCCACCCCTCCACCCCACCTTTTCACTCTACCCCCCTCATCGCCCCCCTCCCAACGCGGGCCCCTTCCAGGCCCTGAGCTGCCGCCGCCTAAGGCGCCAGGAGCTCCTGGCGTTGCGCTGCGGCCGGCGCGGGCCCAAGCCGAGCACGCGGTGGCAAGCCCCTGGTGACCTGGTGACCTGCAAACCCCCAGCGAGATGGGGCCCATGGTACCTATATGGTATATGGTATATGGTACCATATGTAGGTATCTGGTACCATTTTTTTTTTTAAACCTCCCCGCTTTTGGTTTTTGAAGGGTTCTCTTCGTTAGGTATTGTGCGGTGCCGGGCCTCAAAGAAGGACACACCCAAATGGGGCATGGCCACTTTTAGTTTCTATTTAAAGGGAAGCCAAGAGTAAACCAACAAAGACAATAAACAGACCCGCCTAGTTGTAGGTTTCTAAAAATGGTGGACCCCTTTTGATTGGCATGTTCAGGTTGAAACCAAGAGGAAGCTCCGTTCAATTTCAGAAAATGGAGCGAATCCTATTTTGAGAGACACCCGGGTATGTTGGTAGGAGACTAAGGCAAACCGACCATTTTGTAGGGGCACACACCCCAAATAGACATGCCTTTGCGGAAACCCGTTTCGGCTAGTTTGAAAGAGAGCCACAAGAATCACCAAGGGTGTTGATGTTTGTGGAACCCGCTGTTCTCAAACCCACAATGGTTTCCACCAGGAGAACTCGGCGTGTTTGACCTGAACAATGGCTACATTTTGTTGAGAAAAGCCTGGTTTCTGCTGACATCTGGGTCTGTCAACTTGGAATTTCCGAGACCTGGTTTTCCTTGCGCTTCCCTTGCGCAAGTGCCCAAACATAGGGTACTCTGTGTGGCGGTTTCGTGCGCAAAGTGTAGCCGCGCGGTTTCGGAGAAATTCCCAATCGTTGGGCTCTATCGTTTCCCGACGGTCAAACCCCCAGCAAACGGCCAGCCGTTTGCCATTGTGCAACTTCAGCCATGCCAACTGGGCATTTGTCAAAATAGACCACCCCCCCCCCAAAAAAAAAAGAAGAAGAAGAAGAGGAGAAAATATTAAAAGAAGCAACAAAAGCGGAACAAAAAAGAACATAAGAGATGGATCCTTCAAGAAACACATCCCCTAGTGACTTCCACGTTGAGTTGACCTTGACCAACACTCGATCCTTTTGGACTTCTTGGTGTTTGAAAAAAGTCCAAGCCTGTCCGCGCCTTCGCGGGCAACCATTCCGTCGGCCTCTGGGCTTTGGGAGCGGCTGCGGGTGGATCTTTGGACTTTAACTTCTTGGTAACAGCTTGGATTTTTACATACCCACAAGTTAACACTTGTTGCAGAGGGGTCAACAGCAGCCAAAGCCACCCCCCTCTTGCCCCACGCCCCGAAACCCGTCGCACTAAATGACTCGAATCCGACCACCGAGCCAACGAGGCGTTTGGAGCTAGATCTGGGCCATCAGCGGGAGCGGGTGCGCGATGCGCGGGAGAACCCGCAGCCCACGCCGCTGGCAGGAGGGCTGGGGCGGGGTTTGGGGGCTGGGGGGGCTGGGGGGGCTGGGGGGCTGGAGGGGGTTGCCAGGGCATGTGGCCATGGGTCATGAATTTTGCTACAGCAAAGCCAAACGGCCTTCTGAAATTTCATAAAGACGCCTTCCTTGTATTCCAAGTTCCACTTCCAAGCTTCAGGTTGACTTGTCTTGTGCACAAAAAGCCAGGGAATGAGAAACGGAATGACGAGAAAAACCATCCAACTGGCTTTCCCTTTTTCGAGACTCGACAAAATCCGGTGCACCCCATTTCTCCTTCCCTATCGCACCTGACCCTCACCCACCATCCAACTGGTGTTCGCGCCCAAACAAATCCCCAGGTTCTGTCTTTTTTCCCCCAAGCAAATCCCCAGAATCTGGTGGTTTCCCCCAGGCAAATCCCCAGAACCTGGTGGTTTCCCGCAAGCAAATCCCCAGGTTCTGGTGCTTCCCTTAAGAGAATCCCCAGGTTCATCCCATGTCTCGTTCCCTACCCCTCGCCACCATCGATCGGTCCAGGCGCCGAGATCCAGGAGGACCCGCAGCTGGCCTTGGAAGACCTGATGCACCCCATGGAAGGCGCTGGGAGACGCGGGGGGTTTGGGGCGTCATTGCTATCTGGGGTCGCTGGTAGAATGGGGGAAACCTGTTGGCAGCCCACACGTCCAATGTGGCCGGTTTCCGAGCCCAAGTTGGTTTTCAGCTGGCCAGGCCTTCCGCCCTCCAGCGAGGAGGTGAAGCTGGAGGCCAGCCTGGCAGACGAGTTCGGCGACAGCTTGCTGGACTCGGGGGGGATGGGCGAGCGCTGGTGCCTTCTTTGGGGTGGTCCCCTTCAACGGATGCAGGGGCATTTGGGGTGGACACCATCTCCAAAAAAAAAAACACAAGTCGATCCGGGAGACGACGCATTTGAGCGTTGCGTCTGGGGCAAACGCTCTTTTGCCCCAACTGCTGGAAGCTATGGACTTGGCCTCTGCCCAGACAGGCTCGGTCGGGTGGCTTGGGCCAGCTTTCAGGGAAGGTTTCAAGGGGTTCCGCGGCTGTTGGGGATACCTAGGCTTGTTTTGGACCACTGGAACCTTGGGTTGGATTGGAGGTTTCGCCGTTGTTCCTTTCTGGCTCTTTCCCGAGCCCTGGCGGGTTCCCGTCACTGCTCAGCTGGCAGCTGATTTGCATCAAAGTGTTCCTCAGAATCCGTCGAGGCATTTGGGTGCTTCTCCAAATAGGCGTTTGTTAAATGAGTGCTTTCCTTTAGATTTCCCTTTACACTACCATTGAAAAGGGGTCCACAATTTTAAAGAAACTCCTTGGCCTTCAGGACTTCTGTGACTCTTGCTCTCTGGCTTGCGCGGGGGCTCGGTGGGTTCAGAATCACCAAGGTTCGACCGCTTCGCGGTGGTTCGCCGCTGGGAGATTCGAAGTTGAGGAACCGCCCAAAAACGGGGGTTCCTCATGTGGAGACAGACCCATGACACCCGATAAGCCACCCGAGTTTCCAAACCCGCTGGGATGAACCAGCCCAGCGAGGGTACCAAGCCCCCAAAAGAGCAACCGCCCACTTGCCAATCTGCAGCCCTGACTTGTCACAACATGCGTTTCCCCTACTTGCCCCTCAAAACGACCTTCCAAAAAAGGAATCCCCCAAATGGTATGTCTGTCTTCTTGGGTTCCCCTTCGGCCTTTGGGCTGGTTCTCCCAGTTTGGGCAGCAACCGGAAAACCCGAAGCACCTGCCCCGCCAAACCCGAGGCGAGGTGGAGCCGCTGGTGGAGGCGGCGGCTCTGCAGCTGGTGGACCTGGCGCCGGCGCCGCGGCTGCGGCACCTCTGGGCGCCTTGCAGTCGAAGCCGAGAACTTTTGGCTTGCCGGGAGGGGCGGTAGGGCTAAGTGGGGGGAGGCCTTGCTGGGGGGTGGCGGGAGGGGCTTGCTGGGAGGTGGGGAGGGGGGGCGCCTCGTAGTTGATTCTCCATTCTTTTCAACAAGCCAGCAACATGTGCATTCCCTGGTCAAATAGGAACGGAGCCGGCTGCTTTCAATTCTAGTTGATTCCCCATTCTTTTTCAAGCATCGTTCTTTTCAAAGACCAGCTGTTTCTTCCAGGGTTTTGGGTGGCTTTTTTTTGAAAGAAGGATGGCCTCTAGAACTTTGGGCTTGCCGGGAGGTGGGGGGCTTGCCGGGAGGTTTTTTTTTTTTGTTTGGGGGGGGGGGAAGGGCGGTGTTGGGGGAAGGGGGGTGTTGGGGGTGACAAAAAAGGGGGGGGGTATGGTCGGTATGGTGGACACGGACTTTTGGTTTTTAGGCTTTGAGTCTGGAACAGAACCGTTTCTAGTGTCCATAGTGGGGGGGGGGGGGTGATGGGGTTCTCTTTGGTTTTGGCACTTTTCCTTTGGCCTGGGAAAAGATGCACGCAACTGGAAGGGGCCCCCAACGGTTGGGCTGGGCAAGTTGCTGTCCAAAGCAGGTATTCAAAGATGAGGAGCCAGTTTAGAGAGTTCGGGGGGTGGGAGTGCCCCGAGAGCAAGTCGGAGAGCCAGTGAGAACCCTGTTGTTTTTTTTATGCACCCCCCCCCCCCCCTCCCCCGCCGGCCCCTGACCCCCAGCAGCCCCCCACCCCGAGAGGGGTGCCTTGGAGCCGAGGAGCGCGCCTGCTGCGTGGTCCTGGCGCGGGAATGGCAGCTGCTGCTGGGCCAGGCCGCCCAGGCCATGCCAGGCCGGGCACCTGGGACCCGCCGGTGGGGTTTGAGGCGCTTTGGGGCGCTAGGGTTGGTTCCTGAAAAAGGGGGGGGGAGGGGATTTTGGTTGAAGCTTGGGGTCCGTATGGTCATCAAGTTTCCCTTTCATCCACTCAGGGGCTGACTTTGAGAATAGGAAAGCCGGGTAACCTCCCAAGGTTTTGGAACCTCCAAATGTGGCGATCGTTTCAATGGAAACCACTTACTTGCTCAACTTAAGGGAAATCCAGTGACCCCTGTCGAAAAATTTGAGTGGCCGCCCCCTTCCTTCGCACGACGCACAGACCCATGCACATCGAGGGTCTTACCGGCCGATTTGGGGCCAGTGCCAGGCGTTGCTGGGACCCAGACGGGCATCCCAGAGGCGGTGGCAAAGGGAGCACGCGGTTCGCATAGGTATCCTTTTTTGGTTGTTTGGTAGAAGAATAGATGGCCCTGGTTTATCTGGTAGTTTAATCATCTACCAGGGCCATCCGTTCCCACCAGCGGATCGCAAACGAGCACAATGGAGGTTTCAACAATCACCAGACAGTTACAGGTTCCGAAGCACAATCAGGATCCAAACGTTGCTGGTGCATGGAGCTGAGTGCTTGGGGCGCCTTGAGTTTGTTTGCAACCGTCGCCAGTGCACTGGCCAGTGTGTCAACAGGCTTTCCATGTTTCCCTGTCAGGCCAACGCGTCCCCCATCTTCTGGGGTGACCTGGCGGATGACCCCAACTGGCTGCTGCTGCAAACTGAGGAGGAGGGGCTGGAGCGCTTTCTCTTTTTTTGAAGCCGCTGGTTTGAGCCTTGCCAGGTGATCCAGAGCTGGCAAGAGGCTGAGGAAGGCGGGTGCGTCAGCGCCAGACTGTTTTTGTACTCGGCCCTAAGGTTTCGGGGCTGGAAAAGTTGGGGGGAGAGGTTCCCCCATTTGACTCCTGAGAAGGTTCTAGAAACTCTTCCTGGGCTTGGGGGGGGGGGGGGGGTTTTTTTTTTTTTTCTTTTTTGGTTTTTCGTTTTGCTTCCCCTGTTTCTGCTCGGAGGCGGGTTCGGGCAACCCCGAGCCCGCCGGAACCGACCGAAGCGACCGAAGCGACCGAAGCGAGCGCAGGGGAGGCGCCTGCAGGCCCCAGGCGCTCCAAAGACCCGGAGCTGGCCTGGGCGCCCCGGAACGAGGCGGTGCTGAGGCCGGCGCGAGCCGGGTTTTAGCGGCGCGTTTTGTTGTTTGTTTTGTTTTTTTCTTCTTCTTCTTTTTGTTTTTCCCCCCGGGGGGGGGGGGGGGTTGTTTTGGGGTGTTTCTTTTTCTTTTTTTTCTTCTTTTTTTTGGGGGGGAGGGGAACCTCCTTTTGATCCCTTCTATTTTGGGGGATTCCCCCATTTCAAGACACACCCAAAGCTGCTTGGGGAAGAGGCTGGTATTCTAGGGGTTGATTCCCCATTCTTTTCAACCATCCTTCTTTTCAAGAACCGATCGCTGTTTCCCCGGGTTTTTGGCTGAAAGATCCCTGGAAAGAATGGAAATGGGAGGTACCCCTCAAGGTTTTCAAGCGCTTTTGGTTTCAGCTTGGGGTCCGTGGGAGGCTTTCATGCCGATTGCTGGACCAGGCGCGATGCAATCGATCGCTTTGCATCGCGGCACTGCCAACCTGCCGATGCGAAACTCGGACCCTAAAGGGGACCCTCAGGGCAAGTCTCACGTTCATAGGGGTCCTTTTTAGCTTAGTTTGATTTGAAAATAGATGGGTTCCGCTGGTTTAGGTGGGGTTTCTTCCATTTACCAGGGAAGCCCATCTATTTTTCCAAAGGGCCACCTATGCTCACATTGCTTATGTCATAGCCTGGTCTCCATCTGCGTGCGTTTTACAGGTGCCTGACCTCTTGCTTGCTGCCATGCTCAAATAGCCTCAGCGGCAAGACGTCGGTCGTGCCCAAGCCTTGGTTCTTCCGAGCACACTTGACCGGAGCATCAAGTGGAGGAGCCCCCTCCAAAGAGTTGGATTTGCAAAAGTCCTCGGGCTCAGCGGCTCACCTTGCCCGCGATTGCGACCTTCAGCTTTGGCAATGGAGCTGGAGGTTCTGTCGGCGAAGGCGGGCCTTCGGGTTTCGGGTTTCGGGTGGGCTGCGCTGGCACCTGGGGGTCGACGTCGCAAGCGTCGGCCGGCTGGCGCCCTCTTCGATCTTGCCATGATGGACCCTCTTTTTGGTGGGTCCCCCCCCGCAACCCAAAACAGAGAATTTGGTCTGGGTCAAGCTTAAGCCACCAAAAAAAGCCTCAGATCTCGGTCCATGTTTCCACTTATGTACGGTTCCATTGTGGGGCTACCAAGATTTTTTTTGACCACCACCATTCCAGTAAACAAAGCGAACGCCACCAGTGAGGAGCACTCGCCCTGCCAGGACATGGAGCCGGAAATTGCACCTGCCCCACGGCTTAAGTGGCATGCGGGGTGGCGGGCATCGTCGGTGCTAGGGGTTTAGAGGGGGAGCCTTGACTCCTCTTTTTTTTGCAAGTTTGTTTGCTTGTTTCCGTTTTTGCGTGCCTCCTCCTTTTTCTTTACACATGCCCGGGGGCGACGGTTTTGAGAGGGCGCGCTTGCGAGCCTGTACTGTGATGCGGGCGTCTCGGGGGTATGTTGGCGGATGCGGATGCCAACGTGGCCCTCCCCGATTTTTATTTGTCTCACGCAAGCCCCGTTGGCAAAATTGACCCGGATCTGACCTTTTGGTTTTCCAATTTCGGATTTCAATGTTCGTGGCTCCGCAAGATGATCACCTTTTGCTTCTGGGTCCTTTGGGCAACTGAGCGCCTTTGTGTGCCAGCCCGGGCCTAGGGGCGAAACATGGAGCTTGACGCCGAGGTTTGTGGTCAGGAAAGGTCCAGCTTCCACTCAGGTGTTGCTGCGTCGCATGGCCGCCCTCGCGTCTTGGGCGGAAGGGGAGGGAGAGAGAGCAGTGAGGTTGGCCGAAGGTCGCAGTCTCCGAGGTAGGGCCCAGTGCGGCAAGCGCAAGAAGTCTAAAGTTTGAAAAAAAAGCCAGCAGTTGGTTCTGTGGAGAGCATGCCGCGTGTCTGAGTTCGCGTCTCCGAACTGCACGCTGCGCTGTTTCATAGTGCTCGTAGGGGTGCGGCAGCTTTTGTCAAGCTTGCGATTGTATGCTCACTCACTGGGTGCCACCAAGGAAGCAAAGTTTTCTTCGCAATTGGCGCATGTGCAGCAGCAGGCAGGGAGGGATGTGGAACTGTTTGCCTTCTGCGCTTTGCAACCTGGGTGCAGGAGAAAGATAGAACAACAGAAAGGCGGAAAGAAAGAAAGAAAGAAAGAAAGAAAGAAAGAAAGAAAGAAAGAAAGAAAGAAAGAAAGAAAGAAAGAAAGAAAGAAAGAAAGAAAGAAAGACACAAACAAAGCAAGAAAGCAAGAAAGCAAGAAAGCAAGAAAGAAAGAAAGAAATAAATAAAGAAAGAAAGAACCAAAGAAAGAAAGCAAGCAAGAAAGAAAGAAATAAAGGAAAATAACAGAAAGCAAGAAAGAAAGAAAGAAAGAAAGAAAGAAAGAAAGAAAGAAAGAAAGAAAGCTAGCAAGCAAGCAAGCAAGCGAGAAAGAAAGAAAGAAAGAAAGAAAGCAAGCAAGCAAGCAAGCAAGCAAGCAAGCGAGAAAGAAAGAAAGAAAGAACGAAGGAAAGAAAGAAAAGAAAGAAAGAAGGAAGGAAGGAAGGAAGGAAGGAAGGAAGGAAGGAAAGAAACAAGTAAACAGTAAACAAATAAAGAAGGAAATAAAGAAACAAGACAAGGAAGGACATACAGAAAAAAACAATATAGCAAGAAAGAAGGAACCTGTGACACAAAAAAGACGAGATACAGAGAGAGCCAGTTGGAATGTGACTGTTGCCGTGCGGCACGCCTAGGCAAGCTCACCGTGGGGCATCATTCAGGTCATTCCCAGGGTCCCTCCTGCCCCCAGTCTCCCATTGGCTATGTGAAGCCTTGGGGTCTTGCGGCTTGGTGACAGCCGGAGCCTAAATCCACGAAAGACCCACAAGACTCCGATGTGTGACTTCCCCCTGCAGCGCCCCATGTTCGCGACTCCCCATATTTCCACTCCCTGTTGGTTTTAGACATCGCCTTTGGAGTCAGGTGGGACATGTGGGGACTCCCATTTGCCTCCCACCATTCCCGTTTCTCAGTCTTCCATGGGTTGGTGGCTTGCCTTGGTGCTTAGGGGTTTGAACACCTCCCAACCACCAATCCAAACCACACATTTTCGTTGGACGTTTCATATTTGGGTGGTGCCATGATTATATTTGGTCTGGGGGCAGGCCACAACCAAAAAAAAAGGCAAGAAGCTGGCAAGCAAGCCATCAATAAACCCTTGGAAACCAGCACGCCACCCAACGATTGGGGGCAGGCCACAAGGGAACCTGGCGCAAGCCATAGAGAAACCAGGACACCAGGGTACCGATTTGTTTGTTTGGGTACACAAAGGGCCGGCGCAACGGAACCCTAAACCCTAAACCCCAAACCCCAAACCATAGGTGGCCTGTTGGACAAATAGATGGGCTTCCATGGTAAATGAAATGAAACCCACCTAAACCAGCGGAACCCATCTATTTTTAAATCAAACCAAGCTAAGAAGGACACCCATGCCCCAAACCCCAACCCCATCAAACCCTTGGACGCCACGCCGCACGAATTCGCCCCCTTTTTGCTCCCAGGGCTTCCTGCAGATCCGCGAGAACGTGGCCAAGGAGGCCGCGGAGGTGGCCAAGGATGCCGCGATGGCGGAGCAGCGCCGGCGAGTTGTTGCACTTTGCGCTTGGGAAAAGAGCCTAGGTGCCCCAGAGCACGAGGTCAGGGGAAACCATCATGCAACACCTAGATGTAAGAATGCCCGCCATAGGTAACCAGAGAATACCTGGTTACTTGCTATAGCGTCAACTGGACTAGGTCCCCCAGCTAGGTGCCAACTTTTACCGTTTCTTGTTTGGGTTTTTTGGGTTCCCCTACCCCCCCCCCCCCCCAAAAAAAAAAAGAAGGCCAATGAAGTGGAATGACCCCCAAGAAACGCCGGGACCGCTGGTGGGTTCCTCTATTCGGGAATCCCCAGAACCGGCTCATTCGAATCCAACAAGACTGCTGTGGGTATTTCGGCTTTCCTCATTTGGACAAAAAGGCATATTATGCGGTGCTTCTCAGAACGGGAATGCAACAAATTGCGAAAGTTGAATTCTGGCATCTCTGTAGATATACTGTTCCTTTCAAACTATAGTTCTGTTTTCAAAGTAGTGCCCCTTCTTGTATGGTTTTAAAGGGATGCCAGAAGGACTGTGTGCGTGTGTGTGTGTGTGTGTGTGTGTGTGTGTGTGTGTGTCAATTTCCTTAAAATCAACCTGACGAGGTAATGAATCAGCCCGTATGGAAAAGCGTGCCCTTTTCACCACGTTTTCAAGGGACACCTTCCGAGAAAAGCGCATCCTTCCGAATGCAACTCGGGGCTTCGAATGGGGCGAGCGCCCAAGGGGCGGGTTCCAGCGCACTCATGGTGATTGCCAGTCCTAGCTGTAGCCATGGGGCATTTTTTAGTTTTAGAGATTAGAGGGATCGTGAAAAGCTAAAAGGCTCTAAGACTCCTTCTGAAAAGCTCTAAAACTTTTTGTTCTAGCTTTAAAGTTGAACATCATGGTGGTTGTCTTGCGAAGCTTTCTTGCCCATTGCCATTTGCTTCTGGCAGGTCCAGGTGTTCCACCGGTTTACGCCAACTTTTTTTCCGAATGGTGGTCAAAGCTCTGCACACCTGGTGCGTCCCATGTGGTTCCCTGGAAGCTTTGAAAGAAACGGCTAGTTCCTGGCGATTTGATTCACATTTTCAGGGAAACTGGATTAGAACCCCAAGCGGCAAAACCACAACGAACAAGCCTCAAGAAGGGCTCGCAGTTTGAATACTCCGTGGGTTTGGAGGTTTGGAGGTTTGGAGGTTTGGAGGTTTGGAGGAGGGGAAGTTGAGTGTGCGCTTTCCATTTGTGATGTCTAGCTTTTGATTGGGAAGGTCACAAAACTACTTGCAAGCCCCCCCCCCCCCAGGTGTCAGTCTTCCAAGATGGTCCATTGTGCCGAACTTGTTTTTTGGGAGTTTTGACTTGTGTTTGTTCCCTCTCGGGGACGTCACCTACAGAGCTTGTGGCAGGTTCTCGCAGATTGTGAAGGGTGTCTCTGAGGTCCTTCACTCGCCTCTTTGATGCAATGTAGTTAACATTGATCTTTGCTCCCTTGTTCCAGCAATTTCTACACGAGTTCCAGGAGCGCACTTTGGGCAAAATAAGCTCACCCACGAGAAAGGTCGCCTACTTCAGAACAGTTTACTTTTGGTTGGTGGATGAGCTGCGATAATGTTTGCAGATTCTTTCATGTTTTTGTCCATGGCTCTAAGGCCGTACGTGTAAAACCCCATTTTTTGTCCGCAACCAGGGCACCAACCCCAACCGCGTCCTGCTCAATTGGAGTTTGTGAGACACAGCTGGTGAGTTTCAAGAGTTCGCCGTGGGTGCCTTAGGGTTCTATTTGTTCACACGGCTGCGGGCGCGTGCTGGAACCTTGTAAAGGGTCAATGCAACAC